AATAAATAAAAAAAAATAAATAAATAATAAAATTATTTGTTCACATTTAAATTCAATTTAATATCTTTTCTATTTTTTTTTTTTTTTTAATATATATTTTACGTGCAAATAAATTTATTTATTTATTTATTTATTTTTTCTTCTAATCACTTTTAAATGTCATTTATTACATGGATTTTAAAAACAAAAAAAAAAAAAAAAAAAAATTTATTAATAGTTTAAGCTGTTATCGTCAAATTGGCTCTCGAATCCCCCCCCCCCCAAAAAAAAAAAATATTTTTATATATAATTCAAATTTTTAAGTAATTCGTTATAAAAAAAAAAATTTTTTTTTGAAAAAACTTACACAACAATTCGAACACAATTTTTTGTTTTTTTTTTACGTAACAAAATTTTATAATAATAATAATAATAATCCTTATCTGTGCGTGGGGGTTTATGTGGACCCCTTGTAATTTTATAACTTTTAAAAAATTTAAAGTTTTTTTTAATTATTCACAAAAAACAAAAAAAAAAAAAAAAATATTCATTGAAAACATAAATTGTATTGTTGTCTTATGATTGATTATCGGAAACAATAAAATTTTTTTTTTGATGAAATATTATGGCAAATGTTATCGAAAAAAAAAAAAAAATAAATAAATAAATAAATAAATACTTCGATTTATTTCAAACGTCACGTAATTATCAGAAATAAAAAAAAAAACATATACCTGATTTCCGTTAAGATAAGAACCATTTATATCACAATTTTTTTTCTTTTTTCAAGTGTCTTTAATAAAATATCATTACAATACAATTTTAATAATTAAAATAATAATAATTTATGATAATATTTAAATTTTAAATTTATTTTTTTGGATAATATTTAAAAATGATCAAATATTATTGTTTACATTTTATTTTTTTTTAAAAATCATTACAAATCATAATTCGATTTTTTTTCCCAAACATTCATCTTTGAAAATTTTGTAGAATTGTATATTATATATATATATTTATATATATTTATTTGATTTTTTTATTTTGATAATAAATGTAGTACAAAATTATAAAAATAAAAAAACTAATTAAAAAAAATATGTTGTATTTAATTTATCTAAGTGTGTGGTAATATTAAATTTTAGTTTAAATCTTTTTCGAGTTTAATCTTTTAAAATGAACACAAATTCAGCCATAACCTTTGACCTGCACAAAGTTCTCGGTGAATTAAAACAAATTATATGTATATAAATAATAAAAAAAAAGAGAGTATTAATTTTAGGTTACCCACAAACTCTCAATAGATTTCAAATCGAATATGAATATATGTTCCCTTTTTCATAATAATTTGTTCGAAATAAATTTTTTTTAAAAAGTTTACAATAAAAATGATAATGATAATATTTATAAATAATATTCTACAACAATTATTTACAAAATTAATCAGACGCACATTAATAATAAGTCACAATGTCAAAATATTTGTGATATTAATAATAAAGCCATTTTGTAAACATGCAAAGTGAAAATATAACATACTTTAAATAACATTATTTATTTATTTATTTATTTATTGTTTTCATTCATTTTAAAAATACTTTTATTGTTTGTTAAATGCTAAATAACATTGGATATTAAAAATTTATTTGTTTTGTCATAAAAACATTTGTATTTGAAATAAATAATAAAAACAAAAATTTTTTCATGACTCTAATCAAAATAAGATTAGCAATAATAATAATAATAATACATATTAACTACTAAATTTTTAAATCAAATTAAAATTAAAAAAAAAAAAAAATCAAAATAAATTTTAATATCCAGTTAATAATAATAAAATAAATATGTGAATAAAATTAATTGAATTTAAAATTCCTTTATTGAAATATTTCTTTTTTTTTTTTAAATTTTATTTATTTAAGGAACGAACAAAATCTATATATATATAGGGTTTAATTAAACTTACCTGTGGTCTGCTTCTCTGTACCATTTTTGTGATAAATTAAAACTATGTTTCGAAGATAAAATTTTGCATTCGCAAAAAACATTTTTATATAACTCTTGACATACGCAATCCATTTTTTAATGAATAAGATTTTGTATAAAATCTACAATGAAATTATAATTCATTTCTTATTATAGAAAAATGATTCAATTGTGTTGTCATTAAAATTGAATTAACTCTTTATAACGTTTTAAAACATGTTGGTAAATAATAATAATAATAATAATGATAAAAATACAACGAAAAAAAGAAAAAAAAAGAAAAAAAAAAAAAAAAACTTTAATCAGTCATTGAGCTTTTTCTTTTTTTAATTGGCAATGTATATGACTCGCAGCAAAACTACGCAAAAATTTTATTTTTGATTTGTTTTCGTTAATGTAAGGCATAGAGTAATTAACAAAAAAAAAAAACCGCAAATCATACGTGATTATTATTATTATTATTTTTAAAAAAAAATTTTTTTTTGATTCGTTACATCGTAAAAAGATTTTCAAATCGCCTACAAAGAAAATTTATAAAGATAATTATCAAGATAATAAAAAATTACATTGCAAATATTTATTATCTTTATTTATTAAAAGAAAAAAAAAAACTATTCAAAAATTAAAAACCGTTATCTATCGAAAATCTTACTATTACTAAACATTTAAAAGTAAATTTTAATAAGAGCTTTAATAAGAGAGAAAAAGCGATATATTTATTTTTTCTGATTACATAAAAATTTAGTTAAATACTTTAAAAAAAAAAAATTAACTTGTTACATAATCATCAATGACAAACTTTTTTTTTTTTTTTTTTTGCGTGCTTTTATTCAAGGTTATTATTCCTGATAAAAAAATTTTTTTTTTTTTTTTTTTTGTTCGATAAAATTATATTGGGGAATATTGTTTACTTATTAAAAATGCTTTCTCTATTATAAATAACAATGATGGAGTAATAAAAATTTAAAAAAAAAAGAAAATAAAGAAAACCTTTAATCAATATTATCAAGGGTTGCTAATATTAATTATCATCATTTTAAAATAATTGAATTTGTAAATATGTTTAAAAAGTACTTAAAAAATTTTTTTTCTTTTGATAATTTTAATAAATTTACTAAATTGAAAGGTTTTAAGGCACAAAAAAAAAACACAAAAATATAATTTTAAATTATTCTTTAAAAAATAAAAAATAAAATAAAATAAAACGATAAATTATTACATACGTATATAACAAATAACAAAATAATATCATATATATAAAAAAAAACAGTTCATTTTTCATGATAAAAAATAATCATATGTTTATTTAAATAAAAATCAATAAAAAAAAAAAACAAAAAATTGCTAAAAAAAAAAAAAGGAATAAAAAGTAC